GACAACTTTGTTTCAATGATTTTAAAATTAAGAGAGAAGTAAGGATGAGAATAGAAAAGGCAAGCAATAGATTAATCAAACAAGATGATTTTGATATCATTGATACTGAAATTGTCAAGAAAAGCAGTATTGCATATTCCAAATGAAAAAGGAAATTATTTCCTTGCATATAATGAGCTAATTGACATTTTACTCCTTTCGATAATTAACAATTGTTGAAAAAGGAAAAAAACTCGAATCTGATTGCAATAAATTGTTTGGACTTCATTTTAGATAAAGTGAAAAGAATTCAAGCAATAAACACTGATTATCTATTATTTTATTTCACAAATATTTGTCAGTATGAAGATTGGAAATGTAACTAATTAAGTTTCAAAAATCATTTCAAATCATTTTCGTCTGGACCAATTTCTTGCGAAATTCCAATGCTTGAACGAGGAGCACAAAAGTAATTTAAATAATCATATTTTGACTAAAAGTTCCTTCACTAATTGTGCTGCGGACTTTCTGATTTCGGCATATCCATTTTCGAAATTTCAAATTTTCGTGCTTACGATTCATCAATTCAGTTCTGATATGAAGAACATTTAAATGTCATCCAAGACTTCCTTTTATAGAAAAGAAAAAAGGCTAACTTCTGAAGCCCATAACATCTCAATCCTTTACTTTATATGTTTCCTTTCGTATGGACACACTTTTTCTCACAAATCCAAACTACATCATCTTAAATTCAGAATTCTACAGTCCCAGTCCATTTGAGCCATTTTGTATACCACATCAATTCATGTATTTTTATTTATTTGCCGGAAATCAGTGGAAAAAATTTTATTTACAATATCAAAAAGAAAAATTAAGGGCACTATAGGATGACGTCATTTTAATGTATTTCGATTTAAAATGCAACTTTTTAAATGAAATCATTAAAAATGTTGTTCATATTTCCTGCAGTTTTGTTAGTAAAGTCCAAAAGAAGGAGCTTTTACAGATTGTGCTGGTCTCTTTTTTATTTCAAGGACTTCATTATATTTCAACGATGCTGAGGCATGAAACTGTCACTTTCCCTCGTCTTATCAGAAAGAAATTCCACTAACTAACGTTTTCTTTTCACTCTCTTCCATACTTCTTTAAATCTTGTTGAAATAGATGGCAAATATCAAAAATAAAATTACTGAAAGTAGAGCGTTTTACAACGATCAGCATTTGTCACATGAGGATTAAATGCTTGCAATCAGTTACTGATGCAACTTCACTTTTTTCTTGCATATGAAAATGATAGTAAAAAAGTGTTTTGATCCCGTCCGTCGTCTAGCTATATTTTTGGAACTGCAAAAATAATGCAATCAACTATTTATTGATTTGTTGTTTTGGATATCCCGAAAGGTTCGATGGATAAGTTCACAAAGGATGATGCCTTCAATATACATCATAACTGAAATTATGAATGAAATTCTAGACAAGTTTGAGTGCCTTTTTGTTTGAGAATTGTGATTAAAATTTGAAATTTTGAGCCTTAGAATTGCAAAATGACTAATGAACCAAGCCGTCCCATTTCTGTTTTCTTGATGATATCTTCCAGCTGTCAACTTTAACTTCAGTACTGAAGATATTCAACAACGGAATATACTTTAAATGAATAAAACACGAATGAAAACACAATTTTAACATCCCTGCCTTTGTTAACCATCTTTAGTAAAGCAACTTATGCTTAATTTCATCTCTTTGGACTACGATATACATTCAAGGACATGTGAAACGTTCGTTTATATCTAATACTGTCATTAAGAACTGACGTGATATAAAAAAAAAAGAAATAAAAACTGCATGGTCCAACCCAAACTAACTCTTTCAATTTTTTTGATCCAAAATAGGATTTGATACTATAAACTGATATTGCTCTCAAAGATAATAAGCTAGTTTGCTATCCACCAAACTCCAAGAATTATCTCAAAACTGTTGCCTTTCACTATAAAAACAATTGTCCTGCATATCGTATCTTCAGTTAAAACTTTTTATTCTCAGGCATTGAATGAAATTTTAATTTTGTTAGTTAAATATTAAATTGGTTTCAATTTTATCAGTTAAATACCACCATCCCTTCTATCCTCCCAATTTTCTCTATTTTATTTCTTCGACATTTATTTTCATAAATCTTTTCCCTTTAATAACGAACTTTGAACGTTATAAAGAAACTTATCAGAGCTCATTGCGAAGGCGTTCCCTACGACAGATCAGCACACCTGTTGTGTCCACTAACCAAAAGAAGAGACAGCAAACAAAAGATCCCAAAGTTCGAATTCTGATATTACGGTAATTTGAACCGGAATGTATTTCCAACGATATGTTCTCTGTTATTACTCAGTTAATTTATATCACAAATTAAATTCATCTACAAGCTTAATCATGCTTATAAGTTCACTGTTGTGGCTTATATTCCTGTGGGATTTAAATCAGTTTTCAAAAATTTCATAACATTTTGCTGCTAACTTAAATGATATCTTACAGTAAATTGAAAAAATATATAATGGTTCAATGAAAAGCAAGGATTATTACGTTAAAGTCACAGTTTATGAGTAGCAAATAAATAAAAGAACACGTGATTCATCCTAAGAGATATAGTGATTGTAAGAGTGAATAAAAATAATGCCTAAAGTAACAGGGGTGATTTGTGGCGGAAAAATGCTTCACTGATGTAGTCTGATAATTTAAATACCGTATGGTTTCAGTTTGAATTGTACTATATGATATGAATTAATGTTGTATGGGTTATTCCCATTCATTTTTTTCGCGTAAATTATTTTATTATCGCGACGAAAGAAGCATCATTTTTATTTAAATAATGAGAATGCACTAGCCGATACAGTCAGTAAAGTGCGGTATTTTTTGCAGAACAAATGTTAGTTTTGCTCGTTCTCACATTCTTTTATATTAAATTTTTTGTCTTTCGTTTTCTTTGACTTTAGATTTTATCATTATAAGTATACAACTAGTTCTGCGAAACAATTTACCAAACTGACCACTTCGAAATTTGCTCTTTGGTACTAATGTGACACATAGATTAGATGCAATGTGATCACTTATTGAGATTTGATCACTTGTTGAGACAAGAGCTCTTCTCTGGTGACAAATGGGGTTGAATAAATCTTATCGAAGCCATATTGTTATATCACTTAAAAGGAATCAACACGTTCTGATCAATTGTATCGCTTCCATAGCTGAATACAAACAGAATCTATAACATCCCTTCGAGAATTCGAAGGTAAGAATTGGGAGAGGCACAGAAGAAGTCAACATCATTTTTTGACATTTACTGAATTATAAAATATGTCCATTGGTCATCTCTTTCGAATAGACCAAAAACGAACAACTCTTCCAAATGTATGTGAATATCAAATGATGCAATAATTCAACTCAGCATATTTTTTGAACGAATTTTAGAATTTATTTCATAATTTCAACGATGGCATTTTCAAAATCTTCATCGGATAACATTTCACAGTGTTCAGATCTACTTTAACGTGAACATACGGAAGCGTAAAGTGAGACATACTTTTTCGCAGACAATCTCATGCATAATTAATCATAAGGGAACTCCTTATTGTTTCGAAATTTCATTTCATTGGTATTTAAAAACTTGGCGAAATCCAATAAGATACATTTATAAGTGATAGTGATCTATCTAGTGAAATAAAAATTGACTTTTATTAGTCTATTCGTCATCATTGTTTTAAGCGTTCTTTTTCCTTTCACTTTCAATTACCTTTATTTCTTTGTTAAATTACTAATAAAAGTCGATGTGATTCCATCGTATGTTTTTGAAATTTTTAACAAGTAACTGTATCCATCATAGATGAATTCAAAATATTGCAATATCAATTAAAAATTCGTCCTCTTTATCAATAGTGTTAAACTTTTTTTCTTCAAATGCATTCGTTACAGATAAATTCAAAATGTTACACTGATATTTTAAATCACATTTTTAATTGAGAAATCAACTTGAAGTACCATTTTTTTCCTTCATTAATTATATTTTGTTTAGCAATTTATTTCTCATAAAACAGGTTTTAATGGCCTCTTATTCATGGAATTGGACAGATATCTCATTTTTTCTTTATCAGTGGTGTCAAATTTTTTTCTCCTCAATTGCCCGAAATTTATTCATTATAGATAAATTCGAAATGTTGCACTAATATTTTGTAGCACAATTCTGACAGTTCGAGCTCATGCATCCTGCTTGATAGGAAATGGATGATTCACGGAGGGAGGAGAACAAGTGATGCAAGGACAGATTGTGTTGCAAGTTGACACTTCCTTATCCATGACAAATGATTTCTCAGCTATTTTCCTTCCAATTCTTTATTTCTGTTCGTCGAAGATGATCATAAAAATTACGGAAGATTAAGTTGGTAGGATGGAAAAGAGAAAAGATAATTTGTCTTGCTGAATCGTAAAAAATATGGTGTTCGAAAGGGGCGCAGAAGTTTGTGACCATATCAGATAGGAAGAACTTGTATTATGTCATTATTTTCGACTTCATGCCATTATGCAGCTGAGCTTTGTCAGTGTTTGTTCTGATAATAGAGGATATCATTTACGGATTCAGTCCCTCCATAAAGCTTCTCAATGAGAACATCAGCACTAAAACAATGGGTTCTGTCACAGAAATTCGATAACTTTTTGCTACTATAGCTGATGGTATCAGGTTTAAAACTGGCAATTCACTTTATTTTGATCACTGTAAAAAATTTTATAATATTTGGATCAGAACTGGAATAATATTATCAGCAAATATTGTTGGTACCAATTTCGAGCTCTCATAATTAGGATATTGCGTTACATTTTTGATAGTCTGATCCGCGCTATATAATCATATTAGATTAAAAAAGTGCAAACAGTAGGCAGTAGCAAGTAAGTCAATGCTATAATAGTGCCATCGGAATTCAGATATTCTCCAAGAGAAAAAGTAGCAAATATGAAAGCAATGGAGAGTTGAATGAGAAGCGATGCTGAATGATACAGAAAATGAAGAAATTAAGGAAGATGGAAATGTTGAATTAATCATAGAGATTGATGAGAAGAAAATTGATTACTGTAGATATGATGTCGTAAATGTGATATACTATTTATCAGTGGCAGAGTTGGTAATTTTAGATATTTCTTTTGTAATTTTTTAAAAAAATTATTATCGATTGAATTTCTGTGAAAAAAAATTTTTTTAAAGCTTTTTTGGCGAAACTTTCCAAAACTTTTCCATAAGATCTTTTTTTATCTTATCTTGTAATGAAAACCTTTTTTGAGTAATAATGACCACTTACTATTGTATGAAAACTTCACTTCTATAAATGTTTCATTTATAAGAGATTGACGAAAAGTTTTCCCGAAAAAGTTTGTTTTCCACTTTAAAAAATTGATAACATTGCTTGTTAAAAAAATTATGAGGAAAACATAACTTATATTCTGAAATTACAGACTGTTATACAAAGGATTTCCTACAAATATTGCTGAATACTTTCAGTTCCAATAATTATACAATTATTTGCATCAACCTGCTTAGTTACGGTAAAAGTCGTTCTCTAGACCGGTAAGTCATCCTCGCCATATTCTGTTAGAACATTTGTTTCAAGCTATCTCAACCAAATTATTTATTTCTCCTAACTTATGTAGCCTAATTATTTGCCTATTCATTAAACCCGCCATTATTTCAAAACTTTATTTCACTCATTTTAAATAAGTAATTCGGTTGAAACTTCCAGACAACACGAAGTAAATCGATGTATGAGGAATGTATCTTTTTGTGTGGAGCTTATGCAGGTTCCATTTCTTCTTCTACTTCTCGCAAAATATTAACTTATCATTTGTGGTGACATGGAAGAGTTTGAGAGGTGGTTATCGATTATTTAACTTAGTTGAGTTCCTGAAAATGACCAAGAGATAGGGTGTATTGCGGTAGTTCCAAGTTCTGATAAATATTACTTGCGTTGGAAAGATTCAGAAATTTCGAGAATAGCTGTGGGTGGATTTATGTATAGGAAATTTCGAGAATAGTGGATAGACTTATGGGGTGAAATAGTATCAAGACTTGCTCAATCACTTACACACCTAATGGTCCCACCTAAAAAAGATCTATTTACCGAGATTCTTGAAAATATTATATAGATCCATGTCACAAAAATATTTATTTCACTTTTCTTAAATTAATTTTCCATGCGTTTTGAATATTTCAATATCTTACCACCTTTCAGCACTTGAATTTGACACTCTTTTTAGTACTTGCTAGGGGGAAGATCCTCGAACAGCAATACATATTGCTAGACAAGGAAAACAGCTCGTCAACGGTGTGATTTTGTTGGCCATAGCTGCTTTCATTGATCTACGTGGAACACGCGTTTTCCGTGGTGTAACTTTGATCAAAACATTGAATTTCTCGGAAATTGGAAACAAATTAGTGGGAAGACTAGTATTTTTTTCCTTTTTCTAAGTTTCAATATTTCGATTATCTCAAAAAACCCATCAAGTTTTAAATTGAATGCAAAATGATGAATTCTGATGCGGAATATAAATCAGTGGTTGTCAGATACAGCAGAAATATATTCAAAACATTATCCAAAGAATTTTGCGAAAAGCAGTGGACTGATTTATATGATGTCGTTCAACAATAATTGCGCTTGATGTAGATTAGGCCAGAACGTAAAAAATCGGATATTAATTCAAAATGGCTTGACATCAAGCTAAACGTGTTTCATTTGATCCTCGAGTACTTCATATGCATTTATTAAAAAAAGAGTGGTTAAGTTATGCTTTTTTTCCAAACATAGGAGAATTAACCATCCTTTTCAAAATTTTAATTTTTTTAGGATTGGCATTTGCCGATAAAAATGCGTACATAATAATCAAACACAACACCAAAACAGTAACATCATCGTTTTCTTTAAATTTCCTAAAATTATTAGAGTTTACAATGTGCTTGAAGGACGATTTCATCAAATTATGTGCTATCCAACTTGAAGATTCTAATTTTGATTATGATTTGGTAGTACGGATAGATTTTATGGCAACCCCAAATATTTTGAAACAGTAATTACCAATTGCAGGTATGTTTTTGAGCATTTATTGCATTTTATAGTATTATTTTCACGCCTTAACTGCAGTTAACCGTTAAAATGATTCAAAAATTTTTTAATACTATAATATACAGTATACAGAAAAATGGTACAGCAAAACCTTTTTTTATTGATGAGAAATGAGAAAATTCAGCGAACTCTTTTCAGAACTAAGAAATATTCGCTTGATGACCACAACTCCTATTTAAAGCATCCTCGATGGTTTGTTGATAAAATTAATGAATTTATTACTGATCCCAAAAATTACCTTTTCTGCTAATCTTTATGTAACTGCTTGTAATCATTATTGCATAGAACGGAGTTCTTTTTCACTTAATTAATAAACAAGTTTTCGATAATTCTTGTAGAAATGCAAAAATCACTGTTTTTGTATTCTTCTGTTTTTGTTAATAAAATGCGCTCTTTTTATCTGTGTAATAGCAAAAAATACCAATTACTCCAAAAAATTCCAGAGCGGTGATTGTTAACCTTTAAAATTGATTTCAAATTTCAAAATAAATCGACATAAGCAACGTGCAACATAAGCACAGCTGATTTTGTTAGCCTTGATTGAGAAATGAAGACATATATTGAGAAAGCATAAAATTAAATGATTAAACGAATTCATTTTTCTCTTTCTTGTGGCACTATATATGCATATACCAAAATTCTTGACAAAAACAAACTACTTTTAAATGACACCATTTTGACACTTTTATTCTGATATGATCATTAATCAGTGTTGCAAGTTCTTGAGCATTTTTTAGTCAAAATTAAAGTGATGGTTTCATGTTGAGCTCTCCTGATGATATATAAGTATAATAAAATCTCATATCTGTTTGGTGTAAAAGACAGCATAAATGTGATATGATTGACCATTGAAAAGTAATGCTTCTGGTTTGGTCATCATATTATAAAGCCACAAGTTTTGGATTTTATGGTACTTTCCCAAAACATTCTTTTCTCTCAAATTTGAAACTTCAGTGTGGTGCCAGATCTCGTCAAAACTTGATGACATAAAAATGGCAGATATCCCCTATTTTAAAGACGAATGCATTGTGTGTAATGCTCAATTTTGCTCGGTAACATAAATTAAATTTTTTAAAAAAGATCAGACATTAACTCGAAAAATTCATATTCATTTTCTTTAGCTATCGGTGTTATTTAACATTTTTCCAAATAATGTTTGTCATACTTAAAAAAGAAGAATTGTACTTCTGGAGCTTAATGATTAACAGACAATTGATCATTTTTTAGTTGTATAATTCTCCTGCCTCCGTCAGTCATGACAAACCGTGGGTCACGGATAGTATTACATTACTGCGGTCATTAAGCAGTTCCATAAAATTCAAGAGATTAGTGACATTAAACCGGTGTAGAAAAGTTATTTCCACCCAATTGAGATGTCTAAATGGGATTGTTGAAAGGTCTTCGGCTTAACTGAGACGTCCTGTGGCAATTCGCTCCATTGAAGTTGTCAGAAACAAATTCGGGTAGAGTGAGAGGCGAAACGGTCAATTGATGCGAGATGGTATATCCTTTCTTCATTTAGCGTACGTCATCTTCACAGGTTCAGTGTACTCATCGTTATGTTCTGAACATCCAACATTCTTATTGAATTGCTGAGAGAGTGCGTTCGAAATAATCATAGCGATAATTTATTTCCGTAACTTCGTTTTTGTATTTGCTGCTTTACTATTTCAGGTCTGGTCTGAGTAGAATTCTCTTAGTTTCCATGTGGCGTGCACAGATTGCTATGACTCCAACTCAAAAAGAGAAGTTAAGACAACAACAGGAAGAATTGGACGATTGGGATACGGACCCTGATTTTATCGTAGGTTTTCCGAACTGCTACAAGCTCAACAACGCTTGTCTTGTGGTGTTTCGTCCCTTGTCCCTTCAGAATATACGATTATACTTAGTACTTCAAAGAAAGTTTCATCATAAAGTACTCAATTTCTGGTTCGGGCAAATGAAATTTCAATTCATCTTTGACTTCTGAAGAGGTAAAGGAGGTAAAGGAATACTGGTTCCATTTGACTGCACCATCGAGCGGTTGGTTGAGAAAAGGATTTGTGACTGGAAATATAATAAAAAAATGCAAAGCAAGTGATGTCCGGTTCCTTTTTTGTACATATTCTCCAGAAAGTTTTCATGAAAATGCAAGTGCACCACATCCAGTTAAAATAATTGGCGGGCCTAAAGTCGGCTGGATTTCCATCTCAGTTAGAATGATTCACAGAAATAGTATTGTATAAATATACCCTGTAGGATTTAGGGCTAATAATGATTATGGAGTTTATTGTTTCAGTATAAATTCTTTCGTTTCTAGAATGATGTAAATGAAAAAGAGAGTCGCTGGGGTGCCAAAACTGTTGATGGATCTGGCCATCAGGAATCAGTTTCATTAGATCAGTTACGTAAAGAAGTAATTGAAAGCGACAACTTGATAAGGGTAAATTTTATTCTTTTTTTAAGGTAGCCGATTTGTCATAGTTCCTTTTTCAGATGATTGGTTTTTGAGCGCTTTGGTTGCTGTATTCTCTTGTGTCTGATTATTGGTAAAGGCTTATTTTCATGATATAGCAATAGTTTGCTTTACATTTTTGTAATATATCGGAATCGAGAATCGGTTTACTGCAACAAGTTTTCGATAAGACGGAATATCTGTTTACTTATCAGCATTTATACTTTAGGCCAAAAAAGCAGCAGAAATGCCAAAAGCAAGTGAAGGGTATGGTGGGAAATTTGGTGTGCAGAAGGATCGTATGGATAAGGTTTTTATCACTTTATATCCATATTTTTTTCATTTACAGATTTAGTTCTCTCCTTCGTTTTGTTGGTAGTTAATTACATTGTTAGAGATGATTGTAGGACAGTACTCATTTAATTAAACCTTACTCGTATATTACAAAAATATTGAAGCTATGTTTTGCAGTGTGCTAAAACGTGGGAATACGCTGGAAAAGTAGACAAACATGCATCACAGAGAGATTACTCTAAAGGTTTTGGTGGAAAATATGGCGTTGAATTGGACCGAAAGGATAAAAGTGCTCTTGGTTGGGATGAAAAGACGGTTCTTTCTAAGCATGCAAGTCAAAAAGGTAATGAAGATGTTGGAGGTTATGTCTTCTTTCTATCTTTCTTTCTTTTGTCCCTTCTTCAATCCATTTTGTCCTCCGTTTTACCATTTGCTTATTTCTCTTCCATTTATTGGTGAAGAAAATATCTCACTGATTCATAGGCCCTGAATCAAGGTCTGAAATTCAGTTTCGAACCTATATATAAAATATTTAATAGAGAAACACTGTTCAGAGTTACAATATCAAACTCACATTGCGCATTAATCACAAGTAATCCTTTCATGATTTTGGTTTATAAATAGGATCTACGTATCCCAAAAGTGCTCAATGAAAAAGCTGATTTTGATAGAAAGGAATAATTATCATGATGTGAAAAACAATTGTCGCATACAGTAAAGGGATTTTGGTTCTATGGAAATAATGGATAAAGAAGGAGGATTGAACATGAAGTGGGAGGGAGAGATAGGGAAATAGTGGATATTTATTATATTATATTTATTTGTGGCTCTTATTTCGTTTCACCATTTAGTTAAAAAAGAATTAATAATCTTATCTGGACTTTTTTTGATCTATCTACTGCTCCTTACTCTGTTCAACTAAGTAATCTGCTTTTATATATTTTTGTTGCCCACATCCTCAGATGGTGTTTGAATTAGACTGAGGTGAAAAGGTGAAAAATTAATCCAATTTTTGTTGTCTAAGTGTCTTAACATAATAATTTTAACTACTGTGACTTTTCCTCGCAAAATATGGATTATAGAAGATTTATTCCTTTTGCTTGTGTTATGTTAACATGTCTTAAATTATTCTGTAATTTATTACTTCATTATTTTCGCTCCAAATTTTTAGACTATGTAAAAGGTTTTGGTGGGAAATATGGAGTTGAGACTAACAGAAAAGATAAAAGTGCGCTTGGTTGGGACGAACAGGAGAAACTTCCACAACATGAGAGCCAAACAGGTACTTATTTGGGTAGTGAATTTCTGAATTTCAGATTGTATTTCACTGGTTAAGGAATAGATTCAAAAGCTTCCAAATTTGGATGGTAAAGATTTATGGCAGTAGTTTACAGATTACAAGAAAGGTTTCGGCGGAAAATTCGGTATTCAAGAAGACCGCAGAGATAAATGTGCACATGGCTGGGAGGAACGTGAAAAGCTGCAACAGCATGAAAGCCAAATAGGTACCATTTTAGAATTTTTAAGAATTTAAATTTTATGTGTTTTCAAGTACTTATTACAGAAAATATTAATAAATTTCAGATTACAAAAAAGGGTTTGGTGGTAAATTTGGTATTCAGGAAGATCGTAAAGATAAGAGTGCAGTTGGCTGGGATGAGCATGGAAAATTGGCAACACATCAAAGTCAAGTAGGTAGGCATTGCAAAAGTCTATTTACCTACCTAATATTTACCTACCTTCAGGAATCTTATAATATCCTGAAGCATTTCAAACCATATTTCTAGTAATGATGGTACTTGATGATACTTTTGACAGTTTTAATTTGAGCAACTTTAGATTATAAAAGGGTT